TCAATTCGTTTCGATGCAAGGAATACAATTATTTTACGTATAAACTTCAATTTAATTAAACACAAAATCGTTTAGCTAAAATGTGAATTTTTGATTTTTTCACTTTCATTAATTCTTTAAATTTAAATCAAATATGAAGGGTAGAATGACAAAAGGGGTCAAGCGCCAATTCAATGTTTTTACAGGAAGTAAAAAAACATTTTTAAAAATTTTGCAGGTCATTTAAAAAAAACTAAGAAAACCGTTTCGATATATTAGTATGTTTTAATAAATAAACAACAATTTATTGAAATAAACCTACATATTAACGATAAAATTAAAAAAAACTGTGGTGCCTTGAGGTTATATCAACTGCGCACATTTTCTTTAACCCTTTAACGACGAGATGTGCTGTTTTTCAACATAAATTTCAAACGCCTACAATTTGTAGAAAGAAGCCATAAAATTTTTCAAAAGCCCTTATCCTACTATTTTTGGGGTCGCTCTTTCGAATGGCGTGGTCAAAATTTTCAAAAAATGATATATAACCCTTCTTTTTTTCAAAAATACTAAAAAAAGTCAAGTTTTTTGAATGCAATTTTTTTTAAAATAATTTTTTTCTCCCCCATAACATTTTTTAAATAAAACAAAAAGTATCAGAAACGTGTTCCCAATAGTTGTACTTGGAAAATAGCCGTTTATAATTTTTATTTTTTTCGATTTTGGATTTAAAATGGCGCTTGAAGGACAAAAAAATTTCCTAATTTTACTTAAGATCACAAACTTTTTCAAAATTGCTCAAATCTGATTGAAATTTGTTACACGGAGGTTTTTGGGGTTGCTGATTACGAATCTGAAGTCAGATGCAAAAAATTCAAAATGGCGGACTCAATATGGCGGACGAATTTTTTAAAATTTACTCCGATTTGCTTGAAATTTGATACTCGGGAGTTTTTTGGGTCGCTGATTACGAATCTGAATTCAGTTTCAAAAAATTCAAAATGGCGGATCCAATATGGTGGACAAATTTTGTGAAATTCATAGAATTCTGTTGAAACTCGTTACTTGGAGGTTTTTGGGGTCGCTGATTCCAAGTAACGAGTTTCAACAGAATTCTATGAATTTCACAAAATTTGTCCACCATATTGGATCCGCCATTTTGAATTTTTTGAAACTGAATTCAGATTCGTAATCAGCGACCCAAAAAACTCCCGAGTATCAAATTTCAAGCAAATCGGAGTAAATTTTAAAAAATTCGTCCGCCATATTGAGTCCGCCATTTTGAATTTTTTGCATCTGACTTCAGATTCGTAATCAGCAACCCCAAAAACCTCCGTGTAACAAATTTCAATCAGATTTGAGCAATTTTGAAAAAGTTTGTGATCTTAAGTAAAATTAGGAAATTTTTTTGTCCTTCAAGCGCCATTTTAAATCCAAAATCGAAAAAAATAAAAATTATAAACGGCTATTTTCCAAGTACAACTATTGGGAACACGTTTCTGATACTTTTTGTTTTATTTAAAAAATGTTATGGGGGAGAAAAAAATTATTTTAAAAAAAATTGCATTCAAAAAACTTGACTTTTTTTAGTATTTTTGAAAAAAAGAAGGGTTATATATCATTTTTTGAAAATTTTGACCACGCCATTCGAAAGAGCGACCCCAAAAATAGTAGGATAAGGGCTTTTGAAAAATTTTATGGCTTCTTTCTACAAATTGTAGGCGTTTGAAATTTATGTTGAAAAACAGCACATCTCGTCGTTAAAGGGTTAAGCATTAATTATAAAAAAATATACAGTTTAAAGAAAAACTGGAAAATTAGTTTCTTTCTATGGAATCGACGAAATGAATAGAAAAAAAAATTCCTTTAAAGAATTGGTTGTTTTTAAGAAAATTACGAATTAATTGCTTGCTTTGGAATTGAGCAATACTTTCATCTTTAAATTCAATTGTTCACTTAGTATAATCATAAAAATATTTAAAAATTAATAACAAAATGATTTTAAAATTGTTTAAAATTGAAAATATATTATTATTATTATTATTAATTTTATTAATTAAAATATTATTAAAATAAAATTAAAATAAAAATTTAGGTTACATATACATACGTACCTGATTTACAACTTCTTTAGATAAAACTTTTTCCCCATTACTTTTAAAAAACATTTTACCTTCATATCGTTTCATTTTAACAATATCTTTTTTATTAATAGATTTTTTCCGCATCTGCGAGGCATTTTCGATTTGTAAAAAGCAATGTTTTTAAATTTGTTAAGTTATGCATAATATTATAGACTCACTACTTTCTTATGTTTTTCAATCAGGTTGCAATAAAGTCAATTTGAGGCTATTTTATTAATTTAATTTTTATCAAAAACTGATTAAAATACGCAATAAGAAAGGAAATCCTTCTACAGAAATGTGTAAATGAATTTTCTTGATTTTTTTATGCAAAAACCTCATTTTCGATAAATTGGCGCTTGAGCCTTTTTGTCATTCTACCCTTCATATATACTTTATATATATCAATCAATTCGTGTTGACGTAAGGAATACGATTTTATTACAGATCACCTTAAATTTTGCTATTAAAAATTTTTTTTGATTAAAAACAAAATTTTGGAAAAAAGATGATAAACATTTTTTTTCGGTATTTTTAAAGTCCTTTTGTCCATTTTGAGATATTATTGTGATAAATAAGTCTACCAAATTTTACCCAAATCCATTAAAACCTGTTATAGTTATCGCGTTCACAAGAATGGGATCCACACATACATATAAAAATTTATTTCGACCATTTTTAAAAAATTTTATAACCGAAAGAACTACAATGCTTTCTCCACGAGGAAGCAGAAGAAAGCTTCGGAGTGCTACGCGCTCTACATACCGACTCTGCGCCGCATTGAAACTACCATATGAGGCATTGGATTCGTATTTGACATTTTACCTCACCTTATTTCATTCAAACTTAATATTTCCGCTCACCATTAATATTGTTTCACTTTTTCACCTTTTATTTTCACAGCTTACACTTGTTAGTTTTTATTCCTGTAACGACGTTTCGTTTTTCTAAGCTAAAAATTTTCGCCGCCATGGGAGTCTTGGATTTACGTATTCACCGTGACACCCAATGCGGTATGTCACAAATACCGCATTGCCAGGTTGATACTCCCAATGCGTAAATAGGTACCTTCCAATACTTTCATAACAGAGTTCTTTTTAATAAAATTATATGCCACCGAATGATAGTTTCAAAAGTACCAAAAAAGGTTAAAATATTTTCATAAAGTTTTAATGATTAAAAAACAGTTTTATCTTGTATAAAAAAGGTAATTGTTTTCATGAAAAAAAGTTTTTGTGATTATTAATATTAAAAACTTTTTTATTTCCACTGTTTCAGATTAATAAAAGGATATTTTTTATATCTTATAATAAAAAAATCTAATATCTTATATCTCATATCTTTTTTTTAAAAAAAGTTTGAAGGAAGTTACATTTTTTAAATATATGTTTTCAGTAGTATAATGTTTTTAATAAAAAACGTTAGTTTGAATTTTTACTAAGAAAAGAAATAAATTTTATTTGAAACGCAACATGCTTCCTCATGAGAAAGCTTTGCATTCGTGGCGATTTTTAATTTCTCAAAAGAAGGTTACATGGACTCATTCGTATTCCTGGCATGATAATGAATAGATTAATGTTTACATTTACCATTTACAGTTTACATTTAACCAATATTTATAAAATTGATCGCTATTTTACTTGTAATCCTTGTTTTAATCTTGAATATAAGTGTATCATGATGAGGAAGTTAAATGGTCATGAAATGAATCAAAATGTTGAATAAAAAACTAGTTATAATTTTTAATTGAAATTAAGCTAAAAAAATAAGTCTAGGCTAAAAATGTCGGTGGTAGCACCCCGCCTGCCCCACCACTATTTTTCAAGCTTAAACCTTCTTACACTTTTCACCCCCTGATGGAACCTCAGCCTTTTTTACCATCTTGTGGTTTGAGTCGGTACAAATGTTGGTAACAGCATATTCGAATAGAACTCTCCCTCGGTAAGTCAGTGATGCCATGGAAAATGGCAGTTATTGAAAATGGCCATGGAAAATGGCTAGGCCTAAAGTCATTTAAGAAGAAGAAGAACAGCAACACTCGGTTTTCTACAACAGGGACACTGTCAAGTAATGCAGCGTCACCTGATTTTTTTTTCAGTGTAATGGGAGGCAACAATTTGCAAAAAACTTATTTTGTGCACACTTTTCAAAAACAAATTTCGGGTTCTAGTTGTTCTGTCATCTAATTAATTTCAACCTGCTCAATAAATTAAGTTTTTGTATTTCAATGTTATTGTTTTAAACAAATATTTTTAAAAATTTAATTATGTACTCATAATTAAATGCCAGTTTCACCGTCATCCAAAAATTAAAAAAATAATTATGGCTAGAAATCAAGCTGCTCTTGACATTTGATCCTTTAAGGTATTATAATAAAAATAATGTAACATAAATTACTGTAAAGCCTTCACGAAAGTAGAGTATAATGTACTTTTGATTCCGTTTGGTGAATGAAACAAAAGTAGAGTACACTTTTGATACGTCAGGATTCGGTTTGTTAAACGAAAAGAAAGTAGAATGTACTTTTGATTCCATTCGATGAACGAAACGAAAATCTGTCTGTCAGAATACTCTTCATGGTAAAAAATTTGAATTTACTTTTCACATTTTACTTTCGTTTCGCTCACGAAACGGAATCAAAAGTAGATTTTTTCGTTTTGTTGAACAAACTGAATCGAAAGTAGATTTTTTCGTTTCGTTGAACAAACTGAATCGAAAGTAGATTTTTTCGTTTCCTTGAACAAACTGAATCGAAAGTATACTTTACTTTCGTCTCGTTTAACAAACGCAATCGAAGTTGACTTTTGATTCTGATATTCTGATCAGAAACAAACTAAAGTGTTTTTGAATCTTGTTTTGATTCCGTGAAGGTCACAATGAATAATCACAATTAGCTAATTAATAAGCAATATTGAAAACCAATATCTTTATTGGACCATTACTGTTAGCGGATATTCAACAAGCACGGTGCGCCTTAACCAGACTCAAGCCAAAAGTCTTTCCTCAGTAAAAATTTTTTTCCAGTGAAGATATATAAAAAATAGAAATTTTTCTCACAAAAATCAATATAATCTGTGAAGCCGTTGAATATTTTCGCCATTAAAAGTACATTTTCTTAAATGAAAATAGCGAAAAGAAATTTATTATTGTATTACAGTTTCTGTCACGGATCCAGGGGGCACATTTACATAACCCCCCAAGAAACATAGTGGGGTTTTGGGGTTTAAACGTCCACCCCCGTGAAATTTTGAATTTTTTTGAGAAATCTAAGTATACATAAAATCTTTTCTAAAAATTTTTTGCTTACGCTCCTGAAAAAAACAAATTAACTTATAATAATTTTTTTGCCAACTTCTCTGTTTGTCAAATTAATTTTGCCAACGAAATAATAATCGTTTTGTATTGTATACGAGTGTGAAATAAGAAAATATTATAGGACTAAAATTTAAGTGTTTTCGTTAATGGAAACATCTCTTTTATCTTGCAAAAGTATAATAAATTCACTTTTAAACGATATTCATCTCACTGTAAAAAGTCATAACGGAATTTTCTTGATTTTTTTTTACTATCTCTAATAGAGATTTCAATCTACAAAATCGTTGGTAATAGCAGTTCTTATAATGCGGCAAAAATACAGAATCTAAAATGAAAAACATAAAATTTTGTTATTTTCCCATTTTAAATAATTGTCAAATCTCCGATGATTTTGAGGTAGGTAATAGTAGGTAAGTAAGGTAGTAATATAAGGTAAGTAATGTAGATAATAATAGTACCCACTTTCAATGTAGCATAATGACAATGACTAATGACTAAGAAATTATAGCAGATGTGAAAATTCTCATTGCCGAACGTAAACTTATCATGTTTAAAATAGCAATTATCTAGAAGATGGGAATTATTTTACCAAACCAAGAAATATTGACATTTTTAATATGAAAAATCATTTGTTTAAGTAAAAGTGACTCATTAAAGTGGGTAATAATCGTTCCCTCTTTCAAATAGTAAAAATTCCTTTAATACTTTATACAGTGCATGCGCAAACGTATGATCTTTGGACATTTTCAATATTTTCTTAATTCACACTCGCATACATGAACCCAAGTAGGGTTCTGATACCAGATCAGTATCAGACCGATTTCGGATTTCAACATTCTAAGTAGTACAAATGTTGTCAGTATACAACCTCTTTATAATTTAGTATTACAGTAGAGAATGTAATACTAAAAATTCAAGATTCCATATACCAGCTTAGGAGTTGGCATACGGAATCTTGGTTTAAGCATATAAAACTTTTTTTAAATCGTACGTACGATTTTTTAATATATGGATAATAAGTTAATTGTTGCTCTTCTACGAGAACACAAACCAACTATAGGATTTTAACAAATAATTATTAATAATAATTTAATAATGTAATTTTTAAATTACATAAAAAACATTAAAAAATTTTATTGATTGCCTAATTGGTTTCTCAAATTATTCAGCAATGGAACGAAAGTGCTTAGTATCTGAAAATTCACCCATAATATACGTAAACTTAATTAAAAATTTTTCACGTTCCTTAATACGCAGGAGCTTGAAAATCGCTAATGCCACGCTGTTGTTGAGCGAAAGGTGGATCCTGATAAGTAATATCAGTGGCATCAGGATAACTTGCGTATCCTGTGTCTCCTATCGGATCCGCTTCATAGGTGGGAGCAAAAGCTGCATTAGACCCTTGCTTATACCTTTGAAAAGCAAACCACGCACAGCCAACCTGAAAAAAATTAAGTTTTTTTTATTTAATATTGATCATTGAATATCAATCAAATATTTTTACGTTTTAGATTTTTTATTATCCAATAAAATAAGTTTTTAAATAACCTTATAAGTCAAGTTAAATTAGTCGAAAAACAAGGCATATCATGTTTTAACTAAGAACCCCAATTTTTTTGCTTAAACCCTTTATTTTGGGGTAAAAATAAAGTACGTAAATTTGGTACTTCCAACTCCTACCGGAACCTAAATTTTTTTAAAGAAATTGGTACAAAAAATCAGTTTTTTCAAATTGACGACTTCCATGACATTTTATCATAAAAATAGTTATTAAAAAAAAGAAAGTGTATAAAATTCTGAGGAATGTGATAAAAAAATGAACCCTGTAGCTCAAAAATTGACCGAGATATAGCTTCCGCAAAAAATCCATTTTTTCGAGATTTTAGCCAAAATCTGGTATTTTTCAGTTTTTCCAATATAGCTTTGAAACAAATGATTTTTTGAAAAACTAAATAACAAAAAATCTAGCTTTTTTGTTTTTCTTAGTCGTCGACTGTTACATCCCGAGATATTTATTTATTTTATTTAAAGATATAACAATTTTTCATTTTCTTTTATTATAAAATTAGGATATAAAATACGACAAATGGGCATCACACATAAGTATATACATATGAGGCAAAATTCCTGAAATGTCCGAACAAAAAATTAAAAGTTCTCGAATTTAATCCATACTTTTCTAAAATGTTGTTATTGTTGGTGAAAGTCTAAAAATCAATTATCATTGAATTTAATAAAATAGTTTTTGAATTACAACCTTTTTAATTTTTGACTTTTGAAAAAAATTTTTTTTTTCAATTTACAATATTTATAAGTAGAATGCATAAAAGTTAACATATATATAATGATTTTTAAAGCTTTTTTGACGGGCTACAAGCTGTTAATAAAAATTTTTTTTTTTAAATAACATTTGACCTTGAAATTCAAGGTCAAAATGTTATTAGTTTTATAAAAAATTCAAAATTTCAATTTTTTGTTAAAAAAAAAATTATAAATATTGGTAAAATGTAAACTTTATATACGTCATTTCATTTGTTCTGATGCCGGAAATACAACTCTGACAAAATTTATTTAAATTTTTTATGAATAAAGATTTTAAATGTTATATGAAAAAACTAAAATAAACATGATTTCAGATCCGTATAATGCGGGGTTGCCATACTGGCAGAGGTCAAACTTTTTTGAAAAATAATTTTCAAACCGGTATAACTTTAAAATGAATGAATTTTAAAACACCCTGAAAGCTTTTTTAAAACTACCTCAAAATGTTTTTTATTTCATCACCTTCTACCACCTAAAGGGAATTTTGGGACAGCAATATTTGTATGAGTTATAAATTAAAAAACAGCTCAGCGCAACACTTTCAATCTGAGAAAATGCTGTCGTGTATAGAATTTGAGTACCCAAAAATACCACTAGGTATCCTTCTTCTTGTATTAACATATTTTAGGCATTCTAGATAAAAATTATATAGCACATTTTTAAAAAATCGTTACTAATACAAAGTTTCTTCCTGTCGGGAGGAGAGGAAGCGATATAAAAAATGTTATTTATAGAAAGATTTTCTTTAATTAAGTTTAAAGGATTATAAGATATTTATGATGAAAGTGGTGTTACAAAGGTAGATAATATAAATATTTCAGATCATATAAAAGAACGAGAAGAAACTTATGCCAATTTAAATTCAAAACAAAAAGAATTGTTGATTTTATACTAAATGCAGTGGAAGATTCTTCTAGTGATGGTTCTAAATGCATATGTGTAAATGGTCCTGGAGGTTTTAGAAAAATACTTTTGTACACTACCTTGTGGCACTTATTATTGAGTAAAGAAAAAACTGTTTGTAATATGGCATGTGCAGAAATTGTTGTTGTTCAATCCCATGTCATTTCTCAAGTGAAATATTTATCATTTCTTTGAAAAAGTTTCCCATGTCAAACATAGAAAAATTTTTCAAAAAAATGGTAAAGGATATCACATGGGGAATGACATGGGAATTGACATGGGAAAATTTTTCAAAAAAATGATGAAGGATTTCACATGGGGAATGACATGGGGTTTGACGTGGGAAATTTCAATATAGAAGTAGATCATCATTATAGTTTCACAGTTACGCCACCAGATGGTAAAAATATTTTCGCTCATGTGGGAAATACTTTACCTTCCCCTCTCCCCACTTGGTTGAAGGGCTGAAGTAATCGTAGCAACGGTTGCTAAGTAGTGGATCAGTATGCGTACAGTTATCGAGTCATAGACATGTGCTATCAATTATCATTTGTAGTATGATAATAAATTGTTATATTGTTAATGTTGGTCTAATTATTTATAAAAGTTATATTTATAACCTAATGGTATGGAGAATCATTTTTATGTAAAGTTATAAACCAAAATATCCACATTGGTGACCCCGTCTACGAAGAACACATGATTTTGTATCGATAGACATTTTTGCCATCACAGTTTTGTGCCAAATGTATTTTTTGGATTTTATTTTAACAGTGTTTTTTTACTGTGTTTTCTCACATATTTCCCGACTAAAATTTTTACAAGTCTGGAACTCTGTGTTATAAAGTTTCACTAGAAAATCTAACATGTGCTCATATAAAAATGCCGCTATTTAAGCAGTTTAAAGACTCGAAAATTCGCTAAAATGCAGTTAATGCTTTACGCGAATACAAACTATTGTTCATTTCATCATTTCAACGAATTGGATGTCCATTTTTGGCAATTTAAGTGCTGATATTCTAAACGACGCTTTTTTCCGTCTGCGGATGTTATGCCATGCCTTTTTCCCGCTAAGGATATACTCGATGAACGAGTTCATGTCGACCTTATCAGCGCCTCCAGGGTTCATCCAATGATTTTGGCCTATATCTAGAACACCGGAATCAGGTGAATCGCCTCCAGGAGCATTTTCTTTGTGGATGAGGATTCAATGCTGGGAGTTTACCGCCAAAATTTCCCTCGTTTCTGATGGAAGCCATTTTTCTGTGTGACGCATGACTTTTCCGGGATTTTCTCAGCCTGACTCTTTCTGCTAGGAGCATCCCCCCTGTCAACACTTGGTCTCTACGTCATTATTTCACACTCAGGACTTAAAGTATATACATTGTGACGTTGCACAATTTTTCGTAATTATTATTTATATTTTTGTTGAAAATATACATAAATAAATGATTGAATCGCGAGTATAATTTTGTAAATAAACAATCGCCAGTGATCGTCAAGAATTCTCAGGTCATAGTCGCTTATAATATTTGTTTCTAAATTTGTTTTATTTGTTTTTCTGTAATAAAAATATTCGACAAGCTGTTCAAATGAAGGAGAGATCCCGGTTCCTGTTCATTGGTTCAACAGAAGCCAACACGCATGCGCCATATCGTCACTTCCGCTTACCCTGTTTGAAGGAGAATATCACGTGACCAAAAATCCCCAAGCAATATATATTATTATCGTTACCATATTTCTACATCCAACTCACAAATTGTTACCGACCCCTAAATAACACCCAGTATTTTGAAATAATAGACATTTTCAATACTTGGGGTAGTTAATTCAAAATTTAATTTGAGAGAATATTTCCTGTTATTTCTCCGTTCCAGTGGAAACAACCTTTAGCCAGTGCCCGAGTAATTATACATTTTCCTCAACCTTAATTAATATGTTTGATTTTTGAGAAATCATAATTAAGGGAGTTGAGTTCGTCACTAAATTCTCGGAGGTTGACGGCATGGAAGACAAGGATGGAAATCTATAGCAAAAGGAAGCAGAAAACTGTGTGTAGTTAACTTTGGGGTAACTACTTTTTCCAGCAACTACGCTCCTGGCGCTTGATCGCCTTGGCGCAGTAACACCTGCTGCCTTGTTGGCTATCGGCGGGGTAAGTGGGGAAGACGGACGACGCATCGTGCCGGCAACGAGGACTTTCTTCGCTCTCTTGCTTTTTGGCAATCATTGGCGAAAGTCATATTTTCTTAATAAACTTTTTTTATAATTTTCGTTAGTGAAAAATGTACAATCTATCGAGGATCTCCTTTTGGACGTGATTTTCTTTAATAGAAAAAGTGAGTAATGTCACAACATTCATAAATATTCCTTTTCTTTATAATAAAATGTGAAATATTAGATTTTTCTAATAATGGTCGACCGACCTCGTGTTCAAGCAAATTAGTGTTTGAACATTATTTCTTTAAAATAATGCTTTATTTTAATTTCTAATTTTTGTTGTAATAATAATTAAATTTTTAATTTTATTAAATTATTTTTTTTGCTTTTTTTCACTTGTTGCTTGAACACGTGTCGGATTTTCAAGAGTTCACTATTTTCTAATTTCTTTTTTTTGTGTAATTAAAATTATGAAATCGGTTTATTTTGTCCCAAATTTATTGTTGTTGTTACCAATCCCTTGATTTATTATTGTGACCAATTCTAGATTCTTCCCTTTTTTTGTCCCTGTTACCTAATTTTGTACCCCTTTTATTATTGTGACCTCCTTATTAGAATAAAGATTATTAATATCATGTGAATCTCTTATTAAATTGATTTATTTTGACCATTTTATTAATTTATTAGTTCTTAATTTTGACTTGACCTGAGAAATGCTAGAGCTAATTTTCTTTTGTAATTTTCTTTTTTTTGTTTGAATTGTTAATTTGAGATTTTGGGAATAATTTAATAAACGTTATAATTGATCTTTTGTAAAAATGGTATACTTTCTTCGCACCCCGACGCTCTATTCCTTTGATCATGCGACCCTGACTAGCCAGCAAATTTAATATCCCTTTCTTTTGAAAGCATTTCATTTTTCTCAATGTTGCAGCAAAATTTTAATTTATTTTTTAAATGGCTTTCTCCTTTTTCCCCCCTTCTTTTCCTCAATTGTCATGGACTATGAGACTTTGGCCTAAATTATCGATATCATATTATAAAATTAATATTTTG